CTCTTCTCTTACTCTTTCTTATCACTCAAGAATCAAAAGAAACCATACGATTGAAGAAACAAGCAAATTAAATCCAACTCACCTTATACATGAAGACACGGGAAGAAGAAGAAACTGAACCCATCTCTCCAGAATTTTCTTTCCCATTTACACGTGGTTATCTCTTTTATAAAGAGATAATAAAAATCTTTCTTTGCAAAGACCAATTTACCTACTTCCTTACATATTTACCAAATAGTCTTCAAAATATTCCTAATTAAGTCTCTGAACTTTTAGATCTTTCAAAATTAGACTTCAAATTTTCAAAACTTCCATTTTAGTCACTTGCTCTAGTTTTGGGATGTTACAGATTTATTGACAGATGCTCATTGCAGTCCATTAACAATGCACCCGAGTGGAACCAAGATGTATATGGATTTAACGGATCAGTAGGTGGTCAGGGATGAAACGAAGCAACACAGAATTGGTTTCCAAGTGCTTAATATGTCAATAGGTTAAAGCTGAACATCAAGTTTCGTCTGGATTATTGCAACCGCTTTCTATTCCTCAATGGAAATGGGAAAATGTGACAATGGATTTTGTTTCGGGATTACCCTTGACTCCGAACAAAAGAAATTCAATATGGGTAATTGTTGATCGATTAACCAAGTCAGCACATTTCCTTCCCTTCAGAACTGATTTCTCTATGGAAAAGTATGCATAACTGTATATTAGAGAAATTATTAGATTGCATGGAGTGCATGTTTCTATAGTTTTTGATCGAGACCCTCGATTTACCTCAAGATTTTGGAAATCCTTGCATGGAGCATTGGGGACTCGCTTAAACTTTAGTACCGCCCTTCACTCTCAGACAGACGGACAATCAGAGAGGACTAATCAGATCTTGGAAGATATGTTGCGAGCATGTGTCATTAAGTTTAAAGGGTCGTGGGAGAAATATTTACCACTGGCGGAGTTCACTTACAATAATAGTTATCAGTCCAGTATTAAAATGGCACCCTATGAGGCGTTATATGGGAGGAAATGTCGTACGCCATTAAACTGGTATGAGCTCAAAGATCGAAATGTACTCGGTCCAGATTTGATTCAAGATATGGAAGAGAAAGTTTGGGAAAGTCAACATAACCTAAAAGTGGCATTTGATCGGCAAAAGTCCTATTCTGACCTTAAAAGAAAGGATATTGAATTTGAAGTTGGGGATAAAGTGTTTCTGAAGGTATCACCATGGAAACAAATATTATGATTTGGTCAGAAAGGAAAGCTAAGTCCTAGATTCATCGGGTAATATGAAGTTGTTAAAAGAATAGGACCAGTGGCATATCAGTTATCTTTACCACCGAAAATGGAGAAAATCCATAACATCTTTCATGTATCCATGTTGAGAAGATATAGGTCTGACCCCTCTCATATCGTTGCACCAGAGCGAGTAGAAGTTCAATCTGATTTGACTTATGAGGAGGAACCAATACAAATATTGGCTCACAAAGTTAAGCAATTGAGAAATAAAACGGTTTCGTTGGTCAAAGTTCTTTGGAAAAATCACAAAGTAGAAGAAGCAACGTGGGAACGTGAAGAGGATATACGATTTCAATACCCCCATCTGTTCGTGCAATGAAAATTCGAGGATGAATTTTCTTGAGGAAGGGAGATTTGTAGCATCCTCATACCGGGTTAGTGATTAAATTATGAGATTTAAAAATTCAGTGACCAAATTAGATAAATTGAAAAGTTCAAAGAATTGATTGAAATGTTTTGTGTATGATCAATTAGCAAAGAATAAGGAACTAAAGGGGTAAATAAGTCTTTTAACAAAGGGAAACAATTAAATATTAGTTGATGATATTTTATAACCACGTGGAAGTTAGTGGGGAAGACTAAAGTTTCCAGATTTCTCTTCTTCTCCACCGTGAAGCCAAGCTAAAGGTGAGTTTTCTTGTTGATCAAATTCTTGATGAATTTAAGGTTGCTTATTGATCATTAGATGATAACTAAGCTTAAGGAAAGCTTAGGTTATCTTTAAATCAAAAGATGATGGAGTTAGGAAGGATTAAAGAAAGGAGGTGAATAAGTGAAATCTTGACTGAAAGATATTAATTAGATTTTAAGACTAAATTTGACTTGTCATTAGTGGAATTAAAGGATATGAAGTGTCAGAATTATATTTAGAACATGTTGGAATTTGAGTGAGACTCTTAAATTCTATATGGAGGATTGGATTTATAAGTTTTAGAGGTATTGAATGGATAATAATTAGTTTAAGTAAGTGTATGCAAGTTAGGGATATAAAATGAGGTGAATTATGTAGTGTTGAGATGATTATGAAGGGATTTTCGTGCTCAAAATAACAATTCTGGGTTGTGTGCATCGGTACACATTTAATGTGTACCGATGCACTCTCAAATAAATGAACATCGAATGTCATTAGTGCATCGATGCATAAGGAATGCATCGATGCACCCCCCTTAAGAAGAAAACATCGAATGTAATTTGTGTACCGATGCACAGGTAGTGCATCGATGCACACATTAAGGAGTGCATCGATACACTGTAGAGTGCATCGATACATACCTTTATTAAGAGATGAAAATAGCTTTTCTTTTAGCCTAAGAAATGATAGTTTAGAATATATTAATTAGTATACTGATAAGTATCAATGAATTACTATGTAGATACAGAGCCTAAACAAGTTCCAGAACAATTGCCCAGTAAGATCGATCGAGGAAAAAGCAAAGAAATATAGGTGAGTGCATATGCATAACATGATTATCGTAGTTTATCCAATTCTAGACTTGTGATAAGTCTAGATTCAATACATTGATGCATGATTCATTTCATATTGTGAAGCATGATATGAATTCCTACTATGTGCATTGTGTAACATGTTTTAAATGAATATGTATGCAAAGTTATATGAGCCATGTGATGAAGGTAAGGAAATGATATGTCTACGTGATATACTATGTAAATTGGGAAAAACCCATGTTATGTAGATGAGAACTATAGATATAGTTGGCATGCCAAGAGTAGAGGGTTTATGCGGTCCTTCGGGACATATATGTATTCTTTGGAACATGTGTGATGTCTTTTGAACACGTACTTGATCCTTAGCATATATATATATATGATTCTTAAGGAATTTTCTACGTGGTCCTTAGGGACATCTTATATAGCACTACGGTGCAATTCTACTCGGCACTTCGGTGCAATTCTACGTGGCACTTCAGTGCATTTATACGAGCTGTGGTGACAGCCTAGTACACAACCTCACAGTACTCACATACCTTAGGTTCTCAGTATGGTATCATGGGCCAATAAACTTATTAATATGAATTCATGAATGTTAATGTAATATGCTTATAGGTAAGGAACATGGTGATATAAATTGCATTGTTAAGTATACGATTTCATCTCATTCCATCTTATAATGGCATTTTCATTACATTTCCTTCTTGTTATTATTATTATATTGCCTCACTAAGTCGATGACTTAGCGTGTGAGTGTTTCACACGTAGGATCCGAGAAAGTAGATGAGACGGGTTAAGCAGCTGGACAACATTACTCCTGCAACTATCAGATCAGAGTCAACTTAATCAGTAGGTCATTTTGTTATGTAAATGAATGTTAGCATGTAATCAAAGGGTCAAGTTGTGTATGCTCTGAGTATTTTGATAAACTTGTATTAACATATTATATTATTGGATTTTAATAATATAAGTCCAAATATTTTATCGTTTTTTTTAAGAATACTTTTTTTTATAGTCAATGTGACATCCTGGACTCGTATCCGGGTCGGGTATGGGTTGAGGGTGTTACATGTGTATATTACCTTGTATGAAATGTTATATTGTTTTGGTGTGACATCATGAGATGATGTGTTCCTGCATGTTTAAATAATTAGAGTTCTTTTATAAATTTAATGTCTCACTAAGTCATAGACTTAGCGTGTGATTGTTTCACACGTAGGTTACAGAAGCGAGAAGAGAAGCTAAGAAGAGCAAGACAGGTCAATATCTCCCTTACAAAGTTTCAGATCAAAAAATAGATGATTTAAATGTATTTGGTTATTTTGAATATAGTTGGCATGTACTAATTGATTAAGTTGAATAAACAATTTGATAGTATTTATTACTGTAAAGTAATTATTTTCTCAAATGAGGAAATTAAGATTTTAGTGGATTTGTAAAGAACAGAGTTTTGAAAAGTCAATGTGACACCTCGGACTCGGATCCGGGTCGGATACGGGTTGGGGTGTTACAGTTTCAGTGGTAAACTGCCTCGGACAGGGTTCAAGATGGCTGAGCAGCTGCCGATGAACGTTGGGGATCCGAATTACGACCCATTGTATCCCTTTGATTATGTGCTCAATACTTAACCTGTGAACCACACAAGTTAGTGATAGGGTCTTGTGCTGTCCTGTCTTAATGCTAAGCAGCCTTAGTTTGATTTTTGGTTTTAGGATTTGGAGCTATTAGAAGAATAATGGTAGTAGTAATTTTGTGTTAGAATTTCATAGATAGGATCTATCTTCTTGAGCTGCTGCTTATTTGGTGTACTCAACATGTAAATTTGTTGGCTGAAAATAAAAATGTGATGCTTTGAAAGAATTTGTGGAAAGCTATTTAGATCCACTCCGACGGGATAAAGCAATTCCAAATTGAATGTATGATCAAATTTTACCAAACCAACACGCATCATGCCTGATTTCTCAAAGCACAGTAATTACAAATATTTCCGTTTTCATCTTATACAAGATCAGATGTTAGCGTAATAGGATTGAAAGGCTTAAAATAAAATCTAGATTTTCAGCAGTTTACTTATAAATTCAGTATTTAATACTTGAATTTTAATAAATTAATCAGTTGTGTTTTTTCTTTAATCAAAACATCATATTGAACTTTTATAGACTTTTTGTAAACTTTTTTTTAACTTAATACGTTTAAATCCTTAAATTTAGACATGATACATTTTTTCTTTTCAAATTTCCATGACTTTTAAAGACTAGTAAAAAACCTAAATTTTTTCATTTGTGTAATAAGTCAAACTCATATTCTTACCCAAACTTCGTTTAACAGACAGCTAGAGAGTTTCAAAGCTACCAAGCTTAGTTGCGAATTATTTAACACAAATATACCTAATACTATGTGAAATCCGGACATCTGTCTGAAGAAAACATGCTAAAGGCATCACTCCAGTCCAGTCCTTATAGCACCTATTCTTTACAAAGCAACTGAGAAGTAAACATTGCACAACATCCAAACAGCTCGTGTTCTTCACATGGGGCTCCTGTACATGACAACGATCAACGGTCCATCAAAACTGTAGCTCGAGAAATTGAAAAGGAGAGGGTAAACGGATATTTATAAAGATAAAAAAAAGTCCTTAAGCGGATAAATGAAGTTCTGACCTTAATCGGTATTTTGAGGCTGATCGTGCTCGATAAAATCTAGCGCATCTTCCTTGGAGACAAGATTAACACGGCTCACCCTGTTTTTATGAGTCACACCATAGATCTGATCAGCAACTTTGACAAGCTCTGGTCGAAATGTGGTGGTTATGAATTGCGTATTTGCCATGTCTGCCAGTCGACGAATCATATCTAGACAGAAACTGATTAAGGATCCACCCGCTATTTAAGACTTGTTCATTTCTACTTACATTAAGAGAGAAAATGAAGAGCAGGCAAAAGAGTATAATTGTAATATAAGAATTTCAGATACAGAAGGAAAAAAAATGGAACCATTAATTATTAATGGTCAATAGGCTTATCCATATAGTAGAAATAGGATACTTCCAACTGCAGTTCGGTACTGAGGATCTAGAGCTGCATCTATTTCATCAAACAGATAAAATGGAGCCGGATCACATCGTTGAATCGCAAAAATTAATGTAAGGGCTACAACAGTTTTCTGTCCTCCAGACAATTGCTTCATTGATTGCGTCTCACCTTGCCCGGTAAAGGAAACCTATGACATGAATAACAAAGCTTAGAAACATTACCCTGGAAGGTGTAAAAGGTTATGCTTCCAGCTCAGCAATAAAACTGAGTCAGGTGCTGCACGATTATTTGCAAGCCAAGCCTAACTTTCTGGTTTAGACTTCTACCACAATTACAAAATACATACCAAATGAAAATAGGCAAATAAGTACTAGACCAGCAATGTTTCTCCTTATGTTAGTCTTAACTTTTATTTTCCCTCAAGCGCTCATGTCTAACATCAGTGTCCAAGACATCCAAATATGAAATATGACAGTAGAATCCTCCAAATATAAGGCAAAAACTTAAAATAAAAATAATAATGAAAAAAAAAACCATTGAGCATGCCTATATCCATGGTACCCAGTGCACCATCATATAGCTAGCAAGGGCAGGCAAATAACAAACTTCAATCTCTTCTGTAAAACAGATGATGTGTAAAGTATATTCACCTTCACTTTTACACCAATGTATTTCTCAACTCTTCCCTCCAAATCCACCTCTCGAGGTTCATCATCATCATCATCTTCGGCAGCATGATCACCATCCTGTAGGGGAAAATATGCAACACAATTATAATGAAAATAACAAGTTAACTCTCAACATATGATACTATAAATAGACTAATTAAGAGAACAAAGTACTGAGCGCACAATTACAACTCTGCCAATACAGCATTAACATTAGGGGTGAGTACTCGATCGAGTCGAGCCAAAAAAATTCGAGTTGACGAGTTCTATTTTATAAATCGAACTTGACTTGAAACTTTATCAAGTCGAGTCATGTTTATAAATTCAATTCAAGTTGAGTTTTCGAGTTAATGTTTAAATTTAATTGTAAATATTTGTAATATTATGATATTATTTGATTCTAATTTAAATTGTTTTTATAACCATATACAATATATATATATATTTCTTCATATTTATTTCATATGTGATATACATATATCATACATAGTTGAGGGATTTGACTCAAACTTGAAAATCAATCAACTAATTATTAAAAATTTTGAGTTATTCGAGTTGTAATTTATAACTCGATTTAAACTTGAATTTTTCTGAGTTAGTCGAGTTTATGAAATTACAACTCAAAGTCAATTCGAGTCGAGTTTTTTCAAGTAGAATCAAGTCGAAAAAAATCGGTTTTTTGTGTCGAGTCGAGTTTTGCTCACCCCTAATTAACATATATCATAAATTATATATAAGCTTTCATTTCATATATCTAATGCCAAATACATCATGCAACATGTAGAGTAAGAAATTTCCTAATAAAACTTGTGGTACTCTTTTCCTCCTCCCGCTTTTTGTCGGTCTACCTTCATGGTATATTGACAATTATGAAGAGGGGTTTTAATGAGACCTCCAAATCTTATAAAAAAAATTGTTGTGAATGATTGCAAGGGTCAAATACAACATGTTTCTTAAAATCCTGTTATGATTGATCTAGGTTTTCACTCCAAGATTAGTGTAAGTTGAACAAAAAAATACAGAATTTTTTTCGAAATTGTATCTTGGCACCCAATCAAATGAAGTTAACTGGATTCTTTGGACAGATAAGGGTGTAGAATAGAACAGATTTGAGTACTTGAAATGAATCTAATGATTAGAGCTAAATCCTCTCATGACAGCTCTCATAAACAAGACATAAGTTAGAGAAAGCAAAATGAAAGGGAACCTATTCAACCTGAGGTTTGGTCTCAATGTTTCACCTAGTTGCCTTAAGAGAGAGAGGGGGGGGGGGCAGGGGTCGAGCCAGCTCAGCATATGCAATGAGGCAGGGGGTAAAATAAATGGCGAAAATGATACCTATCATGTTATCTTAATGAGATTATTAGAGGGGGAATATTGACGTTCCAGATGGCATAGACAAAGAGATGTACCCATCAGAGAAAAAAGACGCTCCAAAACCATAAATCAGAAACGACAATTGATAAGTTTACTAATCTAGAGAACTATGGATTGGACCCAAAAAAACCCAACCTAGACAACAATGAGACACTATACAATTTAAAAGATCATTTGAAAACATTAAACAGAAAAAGAATAAAATTAAGAAGCCCCAACAAACCTTTTTCTTCATCATCACCAAATGACCATGACCACCTTGCACAAGTTCTGAAAATACTTCTCTAAAGTGTCGGGCAACACCTTTGAAAGTTCGTTCTATTGACTCATCCTTGCGCTGATCTAGAACTGCTATAAGTTCCTTAATTTTCTGTAAAAAGTATATATAATGAAGTATAATGCAAGTTTAAGCTTAGCAAAATTCAATTTGACAGCCACATTTTCCAGGAAGATAAGGTTTTAGAATTTACCTCATCACCTGCATCCAGCTCAGCCTGCCTTTTCTGCAGTTCTTCTCTTTGCTCTGTGAAATTTACATACTGGTCAAGTGCTTTCTTGTTAACATGGCTGAACTGTTGCAGTTGCTCATTGCACCTATGAAGCATTTTCTGCAACTCTTTTATCTGCTTTCGCTTATATCTATCATTTTCAACGTGGAAAAGAAAGAATTAAATAATTCAAAAAAGATAGATATGGATGCAATGTAGAATATCACCAAGATAAGCAGATACTATCACAACTAATCAAACTTATTGTATATCATATAAAACACAGAAACACATTTCTACATCGATTAGAATACTCGAAACGATCTAAAGACATAAGAAATCCTAAAATTAATATATTTATTGACAAAATATCTGAAAACTTTTATAAAGCCCAGATACCACTTAGAGGTGAAATGAAGGATAGAAACTAGAATTTCGGGTAGAAATTATACGTTTCAAAAGCATCTGATGACAAAGGGCCCAACTCCCTTATTTTCTTTGAGAACTCTTCCTGCCTAGCAAGAAGACTGCTCTTTCTACTTAACATTTGTTCCAACTCTTTTGCTTCATTCTGAAGTGTGCTCTCATAATCAGCTTCCAATCCCTGCACCGCCATGAGATGTTCTCAGACGTAGCAATAAGCATCAAGGATTAGTGCTAAATATTATCAGAAACTAGTTACCTTCAGATCGTTCTTCTCATCTTTGATTCCCCTAAGTTGCTTTGTTAGCTCATCAATTCTATCAGAAACTCCTGCAGAGAAAAGCCAACAACATTGAACGTTAGATCTAAATCCAAAACTAAAAAACGCAGTAACTATTCAAAGCTCTTACTTTTAAGTTGCTGTGTGGCATCTTCAACCAATAATTTTGCATCCATCAATTCCTGCCTCTTTGATTCAGCTTCATCAAGCAATGCATCAGCCTCTGCCGCAGATATTATTGCTTCCAACTCTTGTTTCCGCCTCTTAAGGTTGGTTGTGAGATTAGTCTCGAGTTCAGCTTTTCTCGATTCAGTCTGACAATCCAGATTGTACATGGTGAAAAAAATGTAAATGCATGCATGTCACAGCAAAAGAAATCAAATAAGGTTCAGTGCATAAACCTCAATGCGATCACTCCTGCAATTGATAAGTTCCTCCTTAAGATCTGTTATCTCAGGGTTCAATCTTGACAGAAGGTCCTTCTCTTCAGGTGTTAAGTGATCAATAAGCTCTGTGCCCATTTCGGCTCGTTTCGCTCCCATACTAGCTCTAAGCTGATCAATTTGCATCTGCACATCTGCAAGTGATTTTCTCTATAACCAAATAACAAGAGTCGGTGCAGATTGAATTAGATAAATACTTGCAAATAGCAAAAGGAATAATCCCCACATAAGGCACAGTAAGTCAAACAAAAGTCTGTTTTATACCTTATTTTCAAGAGCTTTAGATGTATATTGCTTTTGCTTATTAGCATTAGCAATGTCCTGCTTATGCTGCTCCAGCAATGATTTGTCAAGAACCCGCTTAGCATCAAGTTGCTGCTGTTCAGTGACAAAAGCTGTGATTTGCTGCTCTAACTGTAAGCTAAATTAAGTTCAAACAAAGCATATAAGGCTTCATGGAAAACAATTCAGGATTACAAAGAATGCAGATCTCATGTGTCATGCTCAGTAATTTCGTCATAAGATTCTTAGTTTACCAATCCTCCAAAATTAATGGCTTTGACTTTAAAAGATGCTTCAAAGGAAAAGTTCATCTAAAAACACCTAGGGCTTAAACAAAACAGTTTATCAACCATCATAATTAGGAATAACAAAAACTAAAAAAGGAATTGATGGCTTGTAGGGAAGCTCCTTAATCAGCGAAAGGAGGAAAAGAGTGCCTTAGGATTTTATTGAACAATAAAAACACATAAGATACAACCAACAATACAACCGACAAAACCACCCCAACAGAACCAAATAAGCTGGAAACACCCATAAAACACCCTAACTAAAAACACAAAATCAGCAAAAACAACACTAGTAATCCCTTTACAAAACACATAAAATCTAGACACCACCCTAAACAGCCATCAACAACTTTACTGACTCAGCCTATGCCTTCTTTAGCTAAGGCATCAGCCTCTAAATTGATTGTCCTACTAACCCATCTAACAACACCTTCAAAGGCATTAAGCCTATGAGCAATATCTTTAATCAAGAAGGCATATACAACAGGACATAATTCATCCCCCTTAATCCAATCCACAGCCACCTTACTATCACTCTCTATAATCAACGGTCCTTGATCCTCTGTCGATAGTTTGCAAAGAAAGACAACCCCATAAGAATAGCCTTTAACTCCATCAACATAGGCGGTCCCGGACCAGCAGTTTCCTTGAAATAGCCTATAGTAGAACCTGAGGAATCTTTTAGAACTCCTCCTAGCCCGCTTTTCTTCCAATCCCTTGTAGTGGCAGCATCAACGTTTAATTTAACAAAACCCAAAGGAGGAGACCAAAGTAAAGTAGGAGAAATCTGAGTAGAGCGAAGAGAAAACAAGTCCCCAAGAGAAGGACCGGAAATGAGTGAGTCTTTAGGAATAAACACTTCTTTATACTTTTCTAAGAACCAAGAAGCAAGCCTAAACCTTGCTAAAAAGAAGAATTCTGCCTTATCAAACTTCCCCCTTCAAATACCACAAAATTCCTCATTTTCCAAGTGGTCCACAGAACGACCCCTGGAATAAAAGGCCAAATCAAAGAGTTAGACTTTAAACCATCCCAAGCTAGAAAGAAGCTTTTAGCGCCGCTGGTAAAACAGAACAAATCCTCCAAAAACTTAAAAACTTATTCCAAAGGGACCACACCATCGACCAAGAGAAAAACAAATGAGAGGGAGACTCATCCAACATCTTACACAGGGGACACAACACATCTTCAATTCCTTGAACACCACTTTTGACAAGTTCAGTCCTAACAGCCAGCTTCCCATGAGCGATCTGCCAAAGAAAACACTCTACTCTTGGAGGTAGTAAACCTCTCCAAATGATCTTCTTCCAGAAAAAGACCTCCTCCGATCCCAAAGTCTCCAATGAACCTAGATTAACAGCTGATCTAACAGTAAAAACTCCATCCCCAGTACCTTTCCAGATCACACGATCAGGAAATTCCGAAGAGAGTGAAAATTTTGTAATGATAGCCAACAAGTTAGACCATTGTTCAAGTTCCCATTCATGAAGATTTTTTCTGAACTTGACATCCCAAGTCTAAACGGAAGAGATAGACTCCCCAAATTCAGATAATTTCCCAAACTGATTTAAGGAAATAGAAAATAGTCTCGGAAAAATGACATCAAGTGGATGATCCAGCCCAAATATCTTGCCAAAACCGAATATTTTTACCATCACCAACATGAAAACTACTCATGCTTCTAAACTTAGTGCCAAAGAAGTCTTCTTTAAGTAATTATTTAGCAGTGATCTCCAAATCCAGGATACCTTTGGTGGAAGCTTACTGTCCAGAGTTAAAACTGAAGAATCGAGTCTATATTTGGCACAAACAACTTCCCTCCAAACTGAGTCTCTATCATTTGCAAATCTCCAAGTCCATTTCCCCAAAAGCGCTCTATTCATCAAGTTAAGATTAAGAACTCCTAAACCCCCTTCACTCTTCGGCTTACTAACATTGGACCAGCTAACCCAGTGAATTTTTCTAATGCCATTTCCCCCTCCCCATAGGAAATTAGACATAATAGAGTTAAGGGTTTTAAGAACCGAAGCTGGAATTTTAAATATGGAAAGATAATATGTAGGAAGCGAACATAAAACCGCCTTAATTAACACTAGTCATAGCAGATTAAAAAATTCATCAAGAAAAGTAGTACGCTTGGAAGTAGATGTTTTCATGTAACTGAAATTTAAAAGATTTATCCACGAACAAATACCAAATTCACAATAACACCCAGTTAACTTTTAAAAGAAAAGATGCAAAGCTCAATGTACACAATTTCCCTTTTTCCTGATTCCTATATAGACTGAAACTTGCTACTATTAGCTACACATACTATACCCTAAAACATAGAAGTTAGCACCTTGCTGCAAAAAGGGAAGTTTAAACTACAGAAAAAGGATATTTTGAAGCTCCATGCTGATTCCTTTCAGTTCTTCTTCCTTCTTATTAATAGACTTTGTGCTATGTATAACTATATTCATGAACTTCAATTTTGAGCGCCTATAATCATAAAATCCCCCAGTCATACCACCCTTCTTGCTAACTTGATCACCTGTTATCAAATGAGCAGGAAATTGTTATAGCATTAGAAACACAAGCCCAAACCAAAGAAACGAAGAAACCATCATTGTCAATGCCAACCTTCCAAAGTTATGCAATCCAGACCATCAGTTCGAGCAACTCTTGTAGCAACATCTATGTCTCGGCAGATCACCGTTCTACCAAACACCTGACAAAAACAGAATAAAGAATACAGGAAAATGAACAGAATGATGAGAAAACATTCACACAATATAGCAGTTACGAAAAATTACAACCACCACTTAGACTTTGTATTCTTTTCCCAATAAATGATGAACCCAACTGCAAACTAGGGTTATTTTTCCTTTTGGCAAACTTCACATCTTATTAGACCATCTTCAAATTCCATTGATTTTTTTAATATTACAAAGTGGGGTTAATTTTTTAAAATAAATAGAACAGCAACCCCAAACTCCACCACTCCTTGTGCTAAAGCAGTAAGGCCAAAAACTTGACCTATATCAAAACATGGTGAAACAAAAATCATATTAAACCTATCCAGCCAGGTGCAATAGCAAAAGACAATGTTATCCTTGAGCAACTATTAGAAATCATTTTATCTAATGATAAATGATCTGTCGCTTTCTCAATTGAAGAAAGAGCTTCAAAGTTCCCTCGTAGTGAAGAATATATAAAAGTTAAACTAAGGAAATGGCATCTTGCAGACATCAAGACTCATGTCCATTTATGGAAAGAAAAAAACTAACCTGTGCAAAGGCTGGAGCAAATTTGGAAGAAAAGTTCAATTTCTTTAACAGAGGTATCACATCAGAACTTTGTGGATATGAAACATGCGGAGCCTTCACACGGTTAAGTGGTATGAAAGTAACACGCCCTCCTTTCAGTGAATTAAGATGTCGAATTATCTGAGTTGATATCTCATCCGTTTCAACAACCACATGAAATAAACTGTCAATAGAAAAACCATGTTTAGTCAGAAGCATGCACAAGGGAAGTCAAGTAGTTAATGAAATTTTCAGTCTTGGAATTGAAATATCAGGAAGATTATACCTGTTTCCAGCAGTTACTTCAACTGCAGTGAAAAACTTCTCATCACAATTAAGCAGCTCAATAATTGGACCAAACACTCCACCTATATTATATTCTCTGCATATCTTCCGAATAGAATTCAACCCCCTTCTTACATCCTGATAACAAATAAAGGGGTAAAGAAGAAAAAAGTAAAAAAACATTAAGATCAAAAAATGAAACCCCCATGTAAGGATCGCCTTTTGGGGGATAATTGGAATTTTACAAAATCAAAAACTAAGCAAAGATTAGTCTTCTACATGAAGAACCAAGAAGGTTAGCCATTAAAAAAACTACTGCCATCTAAGAATCAGTTTTTCAAGGCCTTTCTAAGCATTGAACCAAAGGAGAGACATAAAAAATTTAAAAGAAGCAAAGGGCAAGCAATCACTTACTCCAGGAGTTGCATGATCAAGGCTCTTCTCTGCTTTCTCAACTTCTGATTTCAGTTTATCAATTTCAGCAGAAAGCTTATTTTCTTTCTCCCATAAGGACCTAACCAGAGATAAGAAAAAAACTGAATCAATTTGAGTACTTGAATAACTGAATACTGACTAGACAAATGACTAAATGTTTCAAAGGGCATACTTCCTTTGATCCTGCAGCTTATCTCTTTCTGTTTTCTGAGAATTAAACCGAGACTTGGAAATTGAAGATTCCAACTCTTTGATTTCAGCTTGGCGTCTTTCAATAGAACCATCCAAGCGCTCCAACTCCTCATTGAGCCCAAAAATTTCCTCCTGAAGTTTTTGCTCCTGAAAATACAAAAGTAATCAAATGTTATCAAAAAATAAAGCCAGTTATAAAGCAGAAGGGCATACTTATTTCCCAATAAGAGAATAAGTAACTCATGAGCAAACAGGTACAAGGAAAAGCAAGAAACACAAGGAATATAGAAAAATGAACGATACATATCATTTAGATTTAATTCCTCCAAAAGTTAGCAAGCATACAAACTTGACAGAAAGGTATCCAAGTAAAACTAAGCTGAGTAAACAATTGGTAATCAAGAACTCAAATCATTTAAACCTGTTATCCTAGTAAAAATTGTTTATAACCCATACCCCAGCCGGATATTATGTCTTCCCCTATGTACTTAGACAAAGCACCAGTGTTGTTTATGAAATGACTTCCTTCAAAGATATTTCCGTGCAGAATCAAATGATAGAATGAAATGCTGACCATTAACCATGCCACTCAGAAATGTAACAACCAACCTTTTCCAAATAAAATACTCTCTTCAGGATGGCTCCATCAGATTGTATAGTACAGCCAATTAAGTATTATCAAACCATTAATTATTACAGCTTCTGGTTACAATGTCTATGTGCTGGAGAAAAATCTATCCAAAAGTCCTGCACATCAACAGCTTCTGGTTACAAAAAAGGAGGCTAAGAAACGCGAGGAAGAAGCTGAGAAAAGGGCTGTAGCCGCAGTTTACAGGGCTAAGACAGGCCGTCAGTCCAATACTGGGGAAAATGAGATCGAAAAAACTTTGAAAAAACCAGATAAGAAGGCGAATCGTGTGGAGATTTGGTGCCAAAGGTGACGGAAGCGGAGCTACATAAACAGAGAGAGGAGCAACAGGCGCCGACGTTGAAGAAAGTGGAGAAGGTGAAGGAGAAGCACAGTAGGACTGCGGCGAGGAAGAGTATGAGAGGATGTTGTTGGTGACAAAAAAGAATAGGGATGTTTCCTTGGTTAAAACAAGGAACGTGGAAGAGACATTTGCGCAAAGTTCTGAGGCGGTAAACCAACCACCCAATCGCCACGGTTTTAATTATTGGTGGAAGAAAGACTATCCAAAAATCAGTAAGGGATATGCAACTGGCTGCTTTACGTTATATATTGAGAACTTACCAGAGAAGATCCATTGGAAGAGATTTGGATCTTTATTTTGTCATTCGGTCAGGTTATGGATGCTTTCATTCCAACAAAAATAAATTCAAAGGGGGTACGTTTCGGGTTTATTCGCTTTGCAACAATTGGAGAAGCCAGGAAAGCGATCTCAAAGATGAATGGAACTCGCATTGATGGTAGTAAAATTGGAGTCTCTTTTGCTAAATTCAACCCAAGACATTCTTTTTGGAGAAAGTCTTCGTCAGTTGTTCATCATAAGCCTGAGAGGGAAGATGTTACTAAAAACAATCTCTATAAAGTAGATGGTGTTGTTGACGAAGCTAAACTTCAAGTTTTGGATAACTGCCTAATGGGGTGGTGTAAGAACTATACCAAAATCGGCAATCTTACTAGCCAAATGCAAGATAAAGGACTCAATGGTTTCTCGTTAATGAGAGCTGCTGGGAATGTAGTTCTTATGATATTCGAGGACTCTGATATGTTGAGAAGGGTGAAGAATGAACAATCAGAGACTCTTGCAGAGTGGTTTTCCAGAGTTGAAGCTTGGTCGGAGAGTCTAGTTGTAGAGTGTCGTCGAGTATGGGTAGTTTGCGAAGGGATTCCTTCTCATGCGTGGAATTGGGGTACTTTCAAGAACATTGCGGCTAGGTGGGGCAATTAATATCAATTGATGAAAGCTCTCAGTTTCCTTCATCTTTTGATCATGCTAAACTTCATATCCTCACGGAGACTAGAGAGAGAATTGATGATGCGTTGAGTTTGAGGGTCGGTTCTATTTTTTTTTAAATCATGGTGCATGAAGTTGAGCCTTCTTTCAAACCAAACTCTTGGATCCCTGAGGAAGTCGATGATTCTCCAGATCTGATTAGTTCTCTCGGGACAACGTCGAAGAATTCTCTGTAAGACAAAGAACAAATCGTGCAGTGGATGTTCCCTTCAGAGGCGGATGTTTTTGGTTTAATGGTTTCAGGTGTTGTTTTATGTATGTCATGTCAAATACTGTTGGGTTGTTTTTCCTTTTGATGGAGGTTTATCTTAGGTATAGGGTGTTTGCCTCTTGATTTTTGTGGTCGAGAAGGCGAGAGTTTTAGGTGATTATGTTTTTTGTAATGGTGTTTATCCCCGTTTGAGGGTATTTCGTGTTTTCATATGTAATGGGTGTTTTATTCAATAAAATACGAGGTACTCTTTTCTTCCTTCCAATGTTCATTAACATACTTCTTAGTATGTGGACGAATACAAAGGAAGTTTTTAATGAGACCTCCAACTTCTATCAAAAAAAAATTATTATAGCTTGCATTGTTTAATGTTTAGGCTATACATGCCATTAGATGAGACAAAAACACTACAAATACAAAAAGGGACCATTAAATTAAGATGGAGATAAAAATACTTTGTGTATTTTTAAATACTCATTTTATTCAAGTTCTTTGGTCATCTACTCTAATGCTTCTTCTCCACTGAGTTGCATTTCCCAATTATACTGACTCAATAACGTAACGTCTCCACCCAACAGAATTTCCTAACAACAACCAATATAAGATCTCAAAACCAATGTTGAAACAAACCTGCAGTGAATTTGAATAAAGCACTTTTTCGAAATCCTCAATTTCCCTTTGAAGCCATTTATCACGAGCAGCTTTACTAGAAAACTGAGTAGCACGACCTTGTTTCTGATAGAGGATGCTAAGTTGCTTTTCACGCTCCATGATCCTATAAATTATCAGAAACAATAGCATGAAAGAAAGAACATCAACCATAAAGACTATTGTTTGGAGGTCAGACCATTCTATTATTTAGAAGAGAAAATTGATATAAACCACAAAATGGAACTACAACAATTGTGAAGCCGAAATCACTTTTGGTACTAAAAGAAATAAAGAAAAAGGTTAAAAATAACTTTTGAAAAGGAAGTGCTTTTCAAATCAACTTCTAGAAAAGCTAAAAAAATGAGCTTTTGGCTTTTGGGTATAAAATTATCAAATTACCATTTAACGTATTTTTTTCTTTCTAACATCATATCTAAAACGGACATTTTAACTTTTCGCAACACTTCTTTTACAGCAATGCCAAACACCTTAAATTAACAGATCACACTTCTCCGACACATTTTTTCACAACAATTCTCAATCCAAAAATGGAGAACTGGCTAACAATCACTAATATAAATGTGCTATACAGATAAAGTTCAACAAAAGAAACTCAAATACATTTTATACTTAAAAACCACATGACTGCTTATGGAGCAAAGTATGAAGCGTAAACTAGGCTGATGCTTATACACGTGTGAACAGAAAAGGCACTCAGCATAACAAAAGGTGTTAATCTTGGGAAACATGTTAATCTTGGGAAACATGCCTATAACAACTTTAAGACAAAAAAGAGTATGTGTGCATTAGGCATCTGGAGATTTTAACAAATATACAATTTTCGTACTGACATACCCTTTTGTTATATTCTCCTCCTTTTTTAATTGGTTGTCATAGAGCGGTTTAATCCTGTTAAGCTCCTCTGTTGACTCCTGTATTTCATTCTGCAGCATTCGAAGCTGTTTGATTGCATCATCCTGAAAGTCAATACAACACGCCACAAACATTCAACATTTTCGCCAAGCAAAAATGGAATTAATAAGGGCACTCTCTAAAATAATAATACTTTGGCTTGCATGTTCCCAGACATCCTCTCTTCTAAATCTTTTACATCAAGCTCAAGCGCAGTTTGCTTCTTTATTGCTTCTGCTTGTTGAATTTCCAAGGCTTCTTTATCTTTGTTTAAACCTTGAAGCTCCTTTGTTAAATCTTTAGACATCTTGTCCAATTCCTTTAACCTTTCATGAGAATCCAGCACAGCATTATACCTTTCAGATGATTTTTCAGAAACCTTGGTACGAGCTTCTTCTACCTAAATACAGAATAGGTCAGAAAATCTCAAAATGAAATGCCTTGGCAAACATATTGAAGAGTTCGCCATTCATAAAAAATATGGTGGGTATGATTGTCGCAACAATCTGAGCAATAAAACCCATTGTTAGAAAACCAATTTGAAAATAAAAGACTATCATGATCTCTAGCACACAGTATGGGCTCACAATGTCATCTTGCAGTTTCTTTACTTCCAAATAAATTTAAAATCAAGTAAAATGAGTTTTTGTATCATAAAGACCTGACAAGGAGACTAAGATAAGAAAAACCAGTATTTAAATTAAATCTTCCACTCCACTCAAAAAAGCACAACAAAGTTCAAAATGTTTAAATTATGGCAACTAAATATTGTCTGACTTCTAAATAACCTAAAACACGCTATTTCTCTGCATTTATGGATGACGGCTGCACTAAATCTCTATATATCATGGCATCTCCTTCAACTAACTCCAATAAGGCAATGCCTTACGCAACATACTTGATGAGGTCAGTGTCAAAAGGCAGCAGAAACAACTCACAAGCTCATTAAACCTAAATATTTATAGGACAAACGGAGTGCTATTGGAACAACGTGGGTGATGATTTTGAGTTCATCCTAACAGCCAGGCGTAAATACAGCAACACAATACAGGAAACAGATGAGTAAGGATTTTGAGTTCATCATAGCAGCTAGGTGTAGATATACAAAATGTTCTATGGGAAACATAAGAGGGTTTTGTGTTTGTCCTAACAACTAGGTGTAGATACACAACACAGTGTGCTATGGAGGAAAACAGTGTTGAGGATTTTGTGATCATCCTAACAGCTTAGTTAAACAGCATATTTTTCTTCTGCTGCTGTTTTTTGACTTGGGTAAGGATCTTGGCGGTGGCTGGGAAGAGGGGCCAAAGTTGGAAAGCAAAATAAATGTCTCAGGTCCTAATATTCCCTCATACACTGTTTCATCTTCATCAGGTTATAACATCAACCAATTGCTCCAAACATAATAAATTATTATTTATTTCAACACTACATGCAATTGGATTGAGCCATAGAGAAGCTAGTCAGATCTAGTTGGCATCATCGGACCTGAGACATGTTAGAGAATGAATGCACAATAATAAAGAATGGGTTAGACATAGGTGATAAATCCAAAATAGAACTCTATCTGTCAAAGATATAATTTCCTCATTGTGCCTGAGAGAAGACTGAGAGAGCAAGACAAAGGACGAACTGACACATGATATGTGCTTACATACAGGGTAACAGGGGAGAAGAGGAAGAGACAGGAAAGAAAATAAAACTTGAAGGAACATAAAAGAAAGAAATATACAAGCACACAAAAGAAGCATGCATCTACAAAAATAAATAAAAACTAAGACTTCCTAGTTTCCAAGTCTAAAAAAATCTCATGGTTAAGATAGCACATTTGAATTGGCAATGATACTAAATTACTTAGGGGTCATACCGGGTGACAATAAAATCTAATAAAAAAAAGAAAAAAGACTAGGATTCTTTACCAAACATGTGCAATAGGTAACACCCTTAATAGTAGTAACAGTGTCCAAGCACCAATACTAAACTAACCTCTTCCAATTTACGCCGTGCATCTTGAAGTTCTTTATCATAAATGGTATATTCTAGTGACTTTCTCTGCTTGTCAAGCTGCTGATACTTTCTAAGCTCTTCTTTCTCTTCGTCCAATTCTCTCAATCTCTCATCTAAGTACTGGACAACTTGTATAATTTGCTTCCTTTTATTGCCTGCTTAACAGAAAATCTAAATAAATAAATGTAGCAAAGAAAAAATGCGAAGGCAGATAATAGTATAAAAAAAATATTCCAAGACAGAAAGAGAGAAAGAATTCATAATGTCTTGCCAGTTTCCTGCATGATTTTCAAGCTTTCACGACGTCTCTCCTCATAAACTCGAGTACCACCGATTTCTTTCAGCAAGTCCAGCCTCTCAGAATCTTTCATCAGCGTTAATGATGCTATCTATAGACCAGGCAACAATTACTTTACAAAAAATTAAGCAGCAGCAGCTCCACGGAATATGACTTCAGCAAGCTATGCAGTAAAATGAGATTCGATAGCACAACCCACATACCTTGCCTTGTTGAACAACATAATAGGGATTAGAACGAGAGAACCCAGCACTTTCCAGTAAATTCATAACTTCTGTTTTCCTGCACATTAACTTCTTGTTTTATTAAAAACAATTACCTGTAAAGGTCATAAGGCACATTCGAAATATGTATATATGGAACATTAACTACTTTCAATTACTAGAAGAAGAAGAAGAATCTCACGTAATATGTTTTCCATCCAAGAAATACTCATCCTTCTTCAACCCAATTGTTCGACGTAGGCGTACCTCCTCCTTGTCAACCTGCTCAAAAGAGATAAAGAATGCTAAACATTTTAATACAATAGCTGACAAATTATCCCTAACTTATTTGTTTAATTGTATCACTATGATTCAAGATAGATCATCAAAAAAAAGAGAGAGAAAAACTACTAATACTAGGACAACCTGTGTCACACACTTGTTTCAGGCCTCTACAAGTGTGATCAAACATGATTCACATAATACTGAACATATTCTATGATTAGTTTCCATGACACAATAAAGCAGCAAAAAGTTGTTAATGAGAATTACTATGGCAAACACACTAGAATTTTCATGATACCGCCACACTACAGACTGATCATGATTTGCTATGGCAGTAAATAGAAGGCGAACTCCCAAATCAGGATCAGATAGAAGAATAGAAAGAAACTAATTTCTGAAAAAATAACAAGATTAGAATCAGGTTTGTTGATCGCACAAGGTTTGATAGTTTTAGAGAAAGTTGATTGTGGTTATCATTTAATCACTTCGTCGACATTAAATATTAGTGATTTTGAACAACGTTAAAATGGCTAACTTGTACCACCATGAAGAATTTAAAGAATGTTGACCTTGTCTCAATGTCCAAAAAACAGAGCATTATAGTTTGAAAGAATGATGGCAAAAAGTACATAAAATTATTATATCATCCAGTAAGAGCAAAAAAATATCATATCAAAATAATTAAACTTAATTTCTTAGACAAGGACAGCAAGCATTAGCCAACCAAATTAAAAACAACACAATATTTTTTTTAAAAAAAGAGAAAACAAGAACATCACAAACATACATCTAAGAAGGTAGAAAAAAAATAGATGCACTGCCCCACAACCTTCCTCAGCTAAGGAAAATAAAAGGTGAAAAAGTGAGAAGTAGCAAATTATTACCGGGATACGATTGTCAAAATTATCAAAAACAATCTCCACAAATGCAGATACAACTTGGTGTCCTGCACCTTCCTGTTTGAATAGAGACATGCATTAAAAACAACAAGCAAACCAAAAAAAAACAGTTGAAACCGAAGAAATGTATTCCAATACATACATGTAGTAGAGCATGTCTATCTTCACTGCGCAGATTTTGGAACAGGTCACTCAAAACAAAACGAATTGCTACCAGTAAAAGTGAAACAAAGAGAAAGTTCAATGTAACTTGATTATAAAAACGCCAGTCAACAAATAGAAGTGAAATAATATAATCAAAGTACAGTTACCATGGAAAAAATTTGTTTTGCCAGAACCATTAGCACCAACTGCAGAAGCAATTATTTAAATAAATAAAATATGTTAGATCTAAAATTGCCTAATTTAACTGGTACATAGTCAGTTGGAAAGGGGCAAATATGACGGGGGGGTTTTAATGAGACCTCCTACTTTTATCAAAAAAAATCAGACATCAAATTAGCTAGACTAAAATTTACTAAACACAGAAATATGATAAATAGTAATATAAAACTTCAGTTTCTTTGATAATGGGACTTCTCCATGAATACATGGTAAATTACCAACTAGCAATTTTAAGAAAATTCAACATTACCAACACAATTAACTTTTGGACTGAAAGGCTCAGTAGCAATCTGCTCCCTGTAGCTTTTGAACCCTTCAATAATAATCTAGATTCATACAGAAGATAACGGGAAAAAGATCATCAAAAAATGAACTGAATGCATAAATTCCAAAATTAATAAACCAACAATAGCACAAAGAACTAATGACCACCTGTTTTATAAACATGATGAACTACCAAATTAGCAAGCCTCTGTAAAAGAATTAGGAAGAAAAGAAAGTCAGTGGCAATTGCAGAAAAGATAGATAGCGTACATTACCTAAAATGTGTATGTTCCCCAAAGTAAGAAAAAGAAAGAAAGGAATGAATAAATATAACTAAGAATCTCAGAGAAGCAATACCACACACTAAATAGTATGCCTATATAATTATTACCAACTTTTAAAGTATCATGGCGTTATTGCCTAAACAAATATGTTAGGATACACAACAAAGAACACTGAAATTTATAAGAAAAAAAATTGAAAGAAAAAAAAATTGTTAATATCAAATTGCATGGTTTAACTGTAATAAAGAACAATTATTTTCGAATGTGTTCCCGATTTTAACTATTCGTTAGTTTTTAATTAAATATATGGTTTTAGTTTTCATGACTCCCTTGTGGTTTTTTATCAACTATCCATGAAAGCAAAAAAGGAAATAGCAAGCAAACAAACGGAGCCTAAGTTATTCTCGTTAGAATGTGAAAGCGTGAAGGCAAATAAAAAACAAACCATAAGGTGTTCTCTTTCTCAATTCACTCTACCTTTTCTTTTTCTCCTTTAAAATGTAGTACAATTTATAAACTCCAAAATAAGTATTAAAAAATGAAAAACAATCGAGCCTCTTTAGCATATGGAAATCCTTCTCTTCGTTACAGACAAGAAAAAGAAAACGAGAAAGCTCATAGAAGAAAACATTCCAGAGCATGAAAAATGACACTGAAATCCATGAGCAGAAGCTAGGGTTTCGAGCGCAAGAGAAAACCAAATCAAGCAAGAAAATAAAACCCTAGCCAAACAACAAATAACCAGCGAATTGAGCGAAAAATAACACAATTATCTCCTGAAGTTTTACACCAGGATTACTAACAACAACTTCAATCATTTTTAAAAATAGCGGTTAAAAAGGCTTGAGAAATCGTAGTAGAAACTAATGAAATTAATTCAAAAAGATAACTTACCAGTAAGAACAACTACTTTAGCTCATGTGCTTCAAAGAAGAAAATAGAGAGAAGGGAATTTGTCTTGCAGTAAAAGGAAGACCAAAATAAGGCAGTCGATTAAATTTTTAGATTTTTTCCTGAAGTTTTTGGGTTGCTCCGATTCTAAAATTAGCCTTATAGTGCGTAGGTTAAGCAATGTGCGCTAATGCTGCAGTATAGCGAGAGAGGTTTGGAATAGAGGGAGGGAAACCACAAATATGTAAAAATATGAGCGGCAAAAACTGAATTGTTTCCGAGTTTTGCTACGGTGCGCTAAAGAGAAATTCTACCGTACGATGACTTTAATATACGACAAAAGAAAAAATTATCGATTTTATTATTATTTTTTAATATTTTTGATAAAAATTACCGTAAATATTATTATTTATATAAAAAAATATTATTATTTTAACATTTTCGGTAAAATACCTAATAATAATAAAATCGATAGAAAAAATAATATTTTAAATAATGTTTTATCAAATCCGGTAAAGTGTTTAATAATAACAAAATCGATAAAAATAATAATATTTATGATATTTTTTATCGGTTTTATTAAAAAATAATAATAAGATTGATAACATTTTTTTAACTATATATTAAGACTGTCGTACGTGAGAATTTCTTTACACTAAATGTCGTATTTGTACGATTTTTTAAAGTTGTTTGTTTATGAGGTTTTTGTTATCCCAGCAAGGCCAAACGTAAAATAATAGTACACCGCGTACAAATTTATATAAAGCAAAATGTAAAATGAAATTAGATATAAGATGAGAAAATAATAATAAAATTAATAATATCTTTTTTTAATTGTATATTAAGACTTTCGTATATGAATTTTTTTTTATACTAAATATTATATTTGTACGATTGTTTAAAGATGTTTGTTTATGAGGTTTTTGTTATCCCCAGACAATGCCAAACGTAAAATAATAGTAGACCGCGTACAATTTTATATAAAGCAAAATGTAAAATGAAATTAGATCCAATGAGAGAAAATAGTAAAAACATAGAATAAATGAGTTAACTACAGTGATGATTCCTTTTGTTTGTCGGTTTGTCGGTTTGTCCTATTTTAGTCATTGGTTTAAGAACTTTACATTTCGATCATTTATATTATCAATTTTACTCCTTTAGTTTGCTAATGTGACAAAAATTGATCTCTAAGCTTTAAATAAAATAATATTTTAACCCTAAATATTATATAAATTCTAATTTCATCTTTGAATTTCAGGTATAATATCAATTTTAACCCATAAATTTAGTTAAAATCTCTATTGTCAACTGCCACTCATCACTGTTATGAGTCATCATTAATTTCATTACCGATTACCATTGTCGTTTATTGGGTTAGAATTTCCTTCCAATAATTTTAAGATCAACATTCTTCTTTTTTAATGCTGCTCCAAGCATGGCTTCTTGTTTAACTCTTATCACTAGAGCTTTCGACGACACATCGAAGATGTTTTTCTTCTCCCTGTTCCTCTTCATTTCTCTGACAATTTTACAGCCAACAATGTTAAACACACACATGGCACTTAAATCGGATAGTAACTTCAATAAATCTGAGGAAATTCGCGTTGGTCGGTGGGCATACTCGTTCCCGGTAACTTTCGTTGCTTTGGCCTTTCCCTTGCCTTGATGGACATACTCGTTCCCATTAACCTTCATTGCCTTGATGCCTTCAATGAATGTCTAAATATGTAATTTACCCAACATATAAAAACAAATATAATATGCACATGACATAAATGTTTAAATATATTCAAATGTATCAAGATATATAAAATAAATTATTTTTATAAGCATAAAACAAATTATAAATTTTAAAATATATATATAACTTTTAATATTTTAAACACATCAAACAATAATATCAACCGAGATTTTTAATTCCCCTAATACTCACTCCAACCATAATTTTTATTTCCTAGTTGTCCTCCAAATAATAATTTCATATTTATAATGAAATGACCTCAAAGATCGAGATGATTTTTTCTTTGAAAGTAGACATATTATCATTAACCGGAAATATCATCTATCACAATTATATCAGAAATACAAGTCAAATAGTCATAACTTACAAGTAAAAAAAACCGTCATAGTAGATGTGGAACTAAACTCAGCAAGACAATGAGCGCTGTCATTAGTAAAGCGGCGAATTGTACACATGGTAAAGTCAAAGTGAGAATCCAAAATATGCGGAATTTAAGCTAAAGTGAACTAAAGCATAAACAAATCAACATGGTGATTAATCAATTGACCAACATTGTTAGTCGCGTAACTTTCAAGTATAACCTATATGTAGTCCGTGTCAACGTCCAACCGAAAGCCATGGCAAATAGCACATGCCTTTATAAGGTCAACATTGTGGAGTCATGATATGCATGTAGTGCGGCCAGCAACCACGAAATCATCGAAATCACACACAATAACCCTAATTGCCAATGATCCAGACAACATCGGACAAGCCCTATTGACATTGATTTTGACCATAACAAATGGAGGCTTGCACCAGTGGAAAGATTGACAGTAACACTGTAACATCCTCAATACCGGGTTAGTGACCAAATTGTAAAGTTTTAGAAATTGGTGATTAAAGTAGGATAATTGAATAGTTCAATGATTTATTAGAAATATGATGAAGGTTATTTAGTAATTATTGAATGAATTAAAGGGTAAAATGGTCAATTGACAAGTAAGATTTTTTATATTCCTTTTATAAGATAAGGAACCACGTGGGAAAAGAGAGAATTATCCAGAGTTTTCTTCCTTCTTTTTCCTCCTCCCGTATCTCCAAGCTCAAAGGTGAGTTTCTTTGTTTATGAATTAATTGTTGATTTTAAGGTTGGGTTTTGATTATTAGATGATAACTAAGCTTAAGGAAAGCTTAAGTTATCTTAAAATCAAAGTATGATGGAGTTAGGAGGGATTAAAGATTTGAGGTTCTTGGGTGAAATCTTGAAATAGAGTTCATAACTAGAGTTGGAAGTTAAATTTGACTTGTCAATGGTCTAGTTAAGAAGTTAGAAGCCATAAAATTGGAATTAAAACATATTGCAAAGTTGGTTTAATTATTGAGTTACATATGAGGAAAAGGATTTTGAAGCTAAAGATGGTTTCTATGGATATAAATTGGTTTAAGCATGTGTATATGAGTTGAGAACATGAAAGGGGTTGAAAGATGAAGCATTTGAGTTGATTTGAGTATATTTCAGGTTTAAAAATGAATTTTGGGCTATGTGCATCGATGCACATTCAATGTGCACCGATGCATCAAGGGTAAATTTCCAGAAATTGTTCAGTGTGGAAGTGCATCGATGCACCCTTAAAAAATGGAAACATCGAATGCAATTAATGCATCGATGCATAAGGAGTGCATTGATGCACATGTTAAGGGATGCATCGATACACTGTAGAATGCATCGATGCACTTCAAGGGAAATAGAATTATACCTTTATTTTGGTCTAAGAAATGATAGATTAGTGTATATCAATTGGATACTAATATGTATCAATGTATGATTATATAGATATCAAGCACGAACAAGTCCCGGAGCGATTATCAAGTTATGATTCGATCGCAAGAGAGGAAATTATAAAAATGGATTGGAACTTAGTGAGGCCAAGGTGAGTGCGTATTATTTTATATATGATGTTTAATGGGAAATAAGACTTGTGACAAGTCTAATTTCTATAGTATTGTGTATGAAGCATGAACATGAACATGTGTTTGTTATGAGTGTCTGAGTTATATGTTATGGTATGTGTTGACATGTTATTGTATATGTATTTCATGGTTGATGTGAATATATGCTATGTTATGATGATATGATAAGAAATTATATGAATATAAAAGAGAAGTTATGTAATAAGATCTTTGAGATATATAGAAATGGAATATAAGATTACACGAATACATGATATGGATAAATTAGGTAATAATATGGGAATATGGTAAAAAGCGAGTTTAGAAGAAATGAT